CCTTTTGTGGTGGGTCAGGAGATGGTTCTTCCCTAGTGCCCTGTGTTGGGCTCTTCCATGCCCATCGTCCCTGCAGGCCGCAGCCTGGCCAGGCCCCACCTCCAGCGCCCAGGTCAGTGCAGAGTCAGAGTCCTCACCCTGGGCAGGGACTTAGCTCAGGAGCATCCGTGTCTGCAGGGTCCCGTCAGGCTGGATCAGGGCACATCGAGAGCCTGCCCTCTGCTGCTGCATGACTCACTTCGTCAGTAATGATAGCTGGGTGTGCTGTGGGGGAGACACAGAAAATACGTGTGTACAGAGTGGTTCTGGAACCTTCCAGGACCCCCACTCCTGTCCTCCCCCAGCGATCAGAGCCATGGCTCTCTGCAGTCCTGACCACGTCTCTGTGCACGGCTGTCTCTGATGCCCGTCCTCACTGCGCTTGGGGTGGTCCCCAGAGGACAGAGCCAGGCCTGACCCTGACGGTTTGTGTCCCTGCTGTGGCTCCCAGCCGTGCCCCAGCTGCCCCCAGCCTGGAGGCCAGAGAAAGGCATCCTCAGGAGTGTGGGCTGGCCAGCCCCCCGTCCTTACCCCACCTGCTGCCTGTGTCTCTTGAGACGTGTGGCTGGTTCCAGTCATCTGGAACCTTCTTCCCATAAGCCAGAATTGCTGGCCTGGTTTGTCTCTCTGGTCAGTGGGACCCTCTGGGTAGCGGGGAGTGGGGACCACCCCTCAAGGGCTTCAGACCCTGAGGAGGTTTCATTGGCCTGCGGTGCACACTGGACGAGTGTAGGTATGCCTCCTAGACCAGTGTGTGCGTGCTGGCGCCCTCGGCTCAGCTGGCCTAGCGGGAAGCCACAGAGCTGTGATCAGGGTACGTGGAAGCCATGTGGAAGAGTGTGTGCATTTCTGGAACATGAATCACTGTGCACGTGGCCCCCAAAGTGAGTGGGGTGCTTGCCTAGGGCATGTGAGCACACCAGGAAAGGCCAAGGCCAGCCAGCTGGCCAGTCAGCACAGCATCCTGGCTGAGAGCCAGGCTCGGGAGCCAGATGGCCGGAGTCCAAGCCCTGCTTTGGGGGAATGTCTGTGCCCCCCAGAATCCATGTCAGAGCCCTCCCCCCCATGTGATGGTGTTAGGGCATGGGGCCTTGGGGAGGGGCTCAGCTTAGGTGAGGTCATGAGGGTGGGCCCGCACAGTGGGATTTGTGCCCTTTTGACAGGAGGAAGACACCAGAGCCTTCTCTCTCTCTGCCATGTGAGGGCACCACGAAAGGCGGCTGTCTGCCGGCCAACAGAGGCCCCCCAACCCAGGAACCGAATCGGCCAGCACTCTGGTTCGGACTTCCAGCCTCCAGAACTGTGGGAGATAAATGCCCTGTTTAGGCCCCCAGTCAGTGGTGTTTTGGTACGGCCGCCTAAGCTGACCCACATACCCCACGTCCATTATACGTAGCCTGAAAAGTGCACTGAGGTCCAGTAGGTGGCAACCCCGGCAATGGGGCCAGACAGAGACATGGAAGGATCCATGGCCCTGGGGGCCTGAAGTGTGCTGGCTTTGTCGGTCACACGGGCGTCCAGTTTGTGCCGATGCAGGAGGCGCACATCAGGATCTGTGCACCCACGTCCGTCCCGCTCCTCATGAGCTTCTTGTCGCTGCTGTAACAGACACGCCCACTGAGTGGTCTGGATACCCTTATGTTCGCTCTGGGTTCTGGGGGCCACTGTCATGCAGTGGGTGGGGTGGCTGCTTCTGGAGGCTCCTGGGGCGTCCATTGCCGTGGCTTTTCCAGAGCCACCCGTGTTCCTGGGCTCCTGCCCCTTCCTCCCTCAGTCAGCAGTGGGCGCCCTGCAGGCCCGCTCCTCTCCCTGAGCCTCCTGCCACCTTTTACAGAGTTTACCCAGTAGTGGTGCTGTGAGGCCACCGTCAGGGTCCATGCTGCCCCTCTATCCCAGGTCCGTAACTATCCCATCTGCAGTGCCCCTTGGCCCATGTGAGGTGACACAGGCATGGGTTCCAGGGTCAGGACCTGGACACCTTTGGGGGCCGTTACTCAGCCTACCACACACTCCAGTTAAAGCAGCATCTACCCGCACCAGCCCCGTCTCCCCCTGGAAGACACGTCCAGGCAGCATTCGGCTCCCAAGGCTCTGCACGCCCCCTGCCCCAGGGCCTTTGCAAGGCTGCTCCCAGTGCCCACTCCACGCCCTTCTCCCCCGGGACTCTGGGCCTCGCTTTCCATCTCTGGTCTCCACTGAGATCGTGCCTTCTTGTTGACGCTTTTCACACACCCCCAGCCCCGCCCCCCCCGGTTCGTCCAGCATGGTGCCCTGGGCGGAGCTCTGCCCCTCTAGTGGGCTCCACTCTGCAGCTCACGCCTCCCAGAACCACAGCGTGTGTGTCCAGGAGACGTCGTGGGGTGGCCAGGCTGCCAGGGATCCCCCCCGCCCAGGGCATCCTGTTCTGTCAGCACAGCACTCTGGTGAGATGCCTTTTGTGTGTCTATTTTGCATCCGTAGTTTTAGTAAAGAAATCCTCATCCTCGCTTCACCCCAGATCTTGCTCCCACCTTGTAAGAAGGGCCCAATTAATAGTCCCGCCTACGGGTGTCCCCTCCACACCCCCGGAAGAGTAGCAGACGGGGCCCTCTGACCCTGTGCGCCAACCCCCAGCCTTCCCTTAGTACCTGTGCAGTTGGGGGCGGGGGGCGAGTAGACACCAGCCCTGTGGTTTTCTTCCCGACAGAGGAGGAGCTCCGAAAGCTGCGAGAAGAAACCAATTCGGAGATGCTGCGGCAGGAGCTGGACCGGGAACGGCAGCGGCGGATGGAGCTGGAGCAGAAGGTCCAGGAAATGCTGAAGGCCAGGTGCAGAGGGGCCGCGGGGGAGGCGGGGCCAAGAGGCAGTCCACACAGTCACCAGGCAGCGTTGCCCCATGATGGGCAGGGGTCCCCAGAGAACCTGGGGTTCTGCTCAGAACCCCTAGGTGGCCTGTGACAAGCGCCCTAGTCCCCTGTCTGTGTGGCTCCTGCAGGCCCTGGAGATGCCCGTCTCTAGGGGAGGCCGGCCTATCTGCTGCCATCCCTGTCCTGGTCTCAGCGGGAAGTGCAACGTGCAGTCAGCCACCCTCCCAACTCCAGCACCCCAGGGGGTAGATTACTGCATGTGCCTTGGGCACGGAGTCCTGGCAGTAGGGGGTGACAGCGGAGGGTCAGAGCCAGGCCCTGGGCACAGATCCCTGACCAGGAGGGGCCAAGCCCTACAGGGCACTGAAGAAGGAGCCAGCAGAGCCCAGGGCAGCCTCAAGTCCTACTGTCTTGCTCTGAGATGCCCCAGCTCCACACAGGACCTTCCTGGGACCCAGTGCCCTGTCCACCCTGCCTTTGTGCTTTCCCATGCTCAGTGCCCCCCGCTGCCTGCTCAGACACTTCCCTGCCTGAACCCCTGACCAGACTCTGGGCATCCCTATGGCACCATCCCACTGGACACAGTGATCTTGGGGTTTACGGGCCACGGGCAGTCACCCTCATCCCTGCAGGGCGCCCCCACCCTGTGGCTGACAGGTGCGGCCCCAGCTTCTGGAGGTGAAGACAGCCCAGCTGCAGGATGGAGCTGTTTGCACAAGGGGCCTTCTACTGTACCCCCACCTCTGCCCACTTGAGCTTAGCCCCTGCCTCGCTGGGATGCCAGTGAAAGGTTCATTCCAGAGGAACTTTCCAAGTTCTAAGAGCTGTGCCCTCCCTGTCCTGATATACCCCGGGGAGGCTCCCTGCCCCTCGGCCCAGCATCCAGGCCCCAGAGCTGAGGCTGCCGTGCCTCCCCCCGCACTGCCCACTCCCCGCCCCCACCCCCGCCTTTGGCCCTGCTCTTGGCCGGCCACCCCCTGGCCCAGGCCCTCGCTGTGGGAGCCAGCAGCTCTCTGCGGCTTGGGGTGCACCCTGCCGCCGCTGGGACACCTGAGCCAGGGCTGGCTCCGCGAACGAGCGTCACTGTGACCCGGAGTGTCTTTGCTCCAGCAGGGGCTCGGAGGAAGCCCCACTGCTGCTGACCCAGAGCTCAGGGCTTAGACGGTGGATAGGAAATGCCCCCTGCTTTGTGGCCAGACGTCACTTCCTCGGGTTTTGCTGGTTGGCTCTCGGCTATGAGTAACTGCAGGCGCTCAGTCCTCTAGAGGGCCTCCCCCCTCAAGGGCCCGCCCTGTGGGGCCCTCATCATGGTGGCCAGTGTCTTTCTGGTAGCCTTGAGTGGAGGCCCCCCACCCTGTCCCTGAAGGTCTGTGGCTGCTGGAGTTTTCTGGGGCTCCCCATGGCAGACAGGCTTGTGACATCTGGTACCGTCAACGTACCCTACGAGGCCAGTACCCTTCTCCAGACTAGAAATCAGTACCTGGACCTCTACCAGGTGTCAAACCTTCTTATGTGAAAATCTGTAAATGTTCAAAGATTCAGTTACTTTAATTGTGCAAAGAGGTGGAGCCAGTGGGACTTGGGACCTGCTGGGAGATCCGGGCCTGGGGGCATCCCCGGGTCCTTGGCCGTGTGTGGGGTGCGTCCTCAGCCTGCCAGCCAGGGCCGTCCTCTTGTGGCATGTCACAGTGCAGTCACCCCGTGGAACACGGTCCTGCCTGGGGTCTGGCTTTATCTGGAGGCCTCGCACAAAGGCCGCACTTTCTCTGGGGATGCTGGGCAGTGCTCAGCCTGCGCTGACCCTGTGTGCCCCTCTGGTTTTGCAGGGTCTGTGCTTCTGTTTCCCGCCCTCCTGCCCAGCCCAACTCTGGGGTTTAATCCTCGTCTTTTCACCAGACCCTTTGGGTGTCAGGCCTTCTGTCAGTTCTGGGGCTGCAGAGGGATCTGTCTCCCAAGGGTCTGCTTGGGCACCAGCAGGAGGGTTGCAGTCAAAGAGTGTCCAGGCCAGGACTGAGGAGGTAGGAGCCAGGGATCCTAGGGAGCGTGGAGGGGCCGTTCCCCTGCTCTACATCCGGGTAGGGGTTAGGAACTCCCCGGAGACTGAGACCGGAAGGGAAACAGGTATGGGGAGAAGCAGGTTCCATGCAGGTGACCTCCTCCCTCATCATCTGGCCCTCCACGGTGGGCAAGCTTGTGGAGGAACCCTTTACACGTGTGCACAACACATACATGCACATCACACCCACGCATACCCCACCCCCACCCCAAGCTACAGGATTCCAAAGTAATTACATTTATACAAACCTGTTTTGGTTTTTGAGAAAATTCCCTGAAAGTCACCTTGGGTTTCGCTTACTTAGTGGACAAAGGCTTCCTCTGCTTATGGGTCCAAAAGCAGCATAGAAAGGCTGCCCTTTGCTTCCGCAGGGCGATGGTCAGGCCCTCCCAGGCCCCGCCCTCGTGTTTCTTCTTACAGGGCCCTGTCCCAGACTCCTCTGCCCTCCTGCCCCATGTGGGCCTATGCTGTGCCGGCACACGTGTGGGACAGGAACAGATCCTGGTGGCCGTGAGTGCCCAGCCAAGGAACGGCTGGTGCAGCGGGGGTATCCAGCCCTCAGTCCTGGCATCACAATCCTTGATGGGCTTTCGTGCCTGCCGGCCTTTGAGAGGCAGGAAGAAAAAGCCATTCAGGCACATTCCACTCCAGGGTCGTTTGGTCTATCACTGAACGTCTGTGTAGGTTGTTCAGAAACATTTCAAAGAATCCACAGTTGCTAGAAATACAGTGGCCCCTTTTTTTCTATTGAGGTCACATAGCATTTATGTTGTTCTGAGGCCACTTCCCCCTTATCAGGAGCTGTGGTGGGACCGCCGGCCCACCGGTGTTTGGGCTGGGATATCCTGAGACACTGTCTGCCCTCTGACTTCCTTTCCATTTTTTACAATTTCATTGCCATGGCAATGCTGTCAGGCATCTTTTGCATTCAGCACATGTAACAGCAGTTATGGTGTCCATATTTGGTGTGACATAAAGGAGGTAAAATTCTCTGCCACGTGGAGCACCCGTGCCTGTGTACTGCTGTCTCCAGCCTTCTGTGTCTGAAGGCAGCTTACAACCCGTCAGTATCTAACTACCCTTTGTTCCTAGCAGGCAGTTGTGTTGGAAAGATCACATAGCCCGTGGCCATCCGACAGTATTAGGTGCCAGCCAAGCAGTAACAAGCACAGTGCCCTGGAGAGTCCCCATGGCCACTCGGCCCCCAGCCCACCCACGGCTTAGGCAAGGTCATGTCCTTCAGGCATGCGAGTCCTCGCCATGCACACTTGGGCCCGGGCTTTGGTGGGGGCCGGCTAAAGCCTCCCCAGTGAGCCTCCTCTTCCAGAGCCCAGCTCTTCAGGGAACGTCCTGGTCCAGAGGCCTTGCCGCCTGCCCAGGATGGAGGGGGCACAGCCAGGGCGCTGGAGTCTCCTGAGTGCCCTGGGCCCCCTCCTGTCCCAGTGAATTCCCATTCTGTAGGTGGCAGCCCTGGGCTTGGACAGTCGTTAGGCAGCCCCAGGGCGCTGGGTGGGGAGGCCTGGCCCTTGCCTCCTTGACCCCGAGGCTCCTGCCCTGGGGCTCCGCCTGTCTCCTGTCTCCCTGTCTGTCGCTCCGTGAGGCTGCGGCCCTCACCCGCCCTGCGCATCCCCTGTCTAACTTGTCCTCCGCGCCTCCTTCTCCGGATTAGTTACGGGTTACGAGCCTGCAGGCGGGGATGGTTCATGGGGTTGTTGAAGTGAAACCACACTTGTCCCTGATGCCGAGAGCCTGCTCATGACAGGGGCTCCTGGCCCTGCAGCTCTATCCTGGAGGAGTCCCATGCACCCCCAGCCCCTGCTGAGGCCAGCCTCGGGCCTGCTTTTCCCGTGTCCTAGGGTCCCTGCTGGACAGGGAGCCGCTGGAACAGCACAGTGCGTCAGCATCAGGCCAGTGCAGAGCAAGGTGGGCAGGTGGCTGCAGCGCCCGGCAGGCTGCAAGCTGGCTGCAGCAGCACCCAGGGCCGGGTCAGGCCGTTCGCTGGGGGCTGGCTCCGTCAGGGACTGTAGCTGCAAGTCTGGTTAGTGGTCAGAATCCAGCAGGTAGACAGAAAACCCCAGTGAGGGCCCCAATGCCAGCTGACTGCTGTAATCACGTGTGGCTGGGGTGCGGGGACAGGAAGCCAGGCAGGCTGGCACGGGCAGCCCTGGGAGCCTGGTATGGCTGGTGGGGTCCTTACGGCTCTGTGGCTTTGCGTGGTGCTTACTGAATACGTGTATTATCTGGTAAGTCTCTCTTCATTAGCAGGCTAATTAATCGGTGACATAAGGGCTGCTTGTTCTGAGTTTAACAGGAAAGGATGTGTTAAAATCAACAGGATAAAACTGTATGCGTACAAGACACTATTTATTCAGTTATTAAAAAATCAAAAATAGTGTGCGCCTTATGAATGTAGCTCTTTGCTGCCCAGCCACTGTTGTGACGGACGTCTGAGCAGTGGGGAGCCCAGGGGCCCAGCTGGGAGAGCTGAGGCTGCCTGTCCTGCCGGGGGTGCTGGGGCTGCCCAGCCCAGCACCCCCGCTCCGTGTCTCGACTAACAGAATGCTCCCTCTCCCTGCTCTTTTTAAGAACTGAGGAGCAGACAGCTCAGCAGCCTCCGAAAGGACAGGCCCAGGTCAATCACGGAGCAGGTAGGCCCCGGTGGGCAGCTGGCTGGGTGGTGGCTCTGCCCCTGGGACGCCTGCCCACGTCCGGGAGAGCTGGGTGCTGTCTCTGTTGTGAATTGGTGAGATGTCATTAGCAAACACAAGTCATTCAACCAAAACGCAGTTTTATTTTCTCATAAAAATACAACATGGTATCTACGGAAGACCTTCCCCACAGGGAAATAGTATTGTAGTCACATCGGCCACTTGGCCACTGACCTGGCAGCGTGTTTCCAAAGGCTGGTTGTCCCGACAAGGGGGTGAACGGGCACTGGGGGCCACACGGTCAGCATGGCTCCAACCCTCCCCGGGTCAAGACACAGACCCTGTTCTCTGCACCCTCCAGTCTTGCTCTGAGCGGTATTCTTTATCTTACTCCACCCCTTGTACTTTCTGAAATTGCCCTTCGGACGACGGCAGGGAGGAAAGGGGATTCTCCATGTGGCAATCAGGGGGACCAACTCAGGGTGGGCCCTGACCCTCACATCCTGAAACCTGGGACCTACTCCTGCAGGCTGGCCATTCCTGGGAAGCCCCCTGCCTGTGCCAGGAGTTCAGATAGTCACACAGGCAGGGCCTTGGCTTATAAGGCTGAGGAAAGTGAGGCCCAAGGCCTGTCCCAGGGCACCTGCCAGGTGGAGCCCAGCTTGACCAGAGCAGGGTCCTGCCTTCCAGGAGGGAAGATGGTGTATGTCCCTTTCCCAGGGACCCCAGTGCTTGACCTGCAGGCAGGCAGCTCAGATCAGGTGCAGGGTCAGCTACAGCGTCCCAAAGGTCATGATCTCCTTGGGCCCTTCAGCTCTACGCTGGCAGCCCAGGATCCGAGGTAGGAGCTGCACAGGAGACCCCCAGTGCGTGGTGACTGATGAGCGTCCTGCTCCTGTCGGAGGTGTCAGGGAAGCGTGGGTGGGGAGACCCCCAATTCTGGGTCCCCATGGCCCCATCCTTGAGGACTCCCTAAGCAGAGGTCACTCTGATAGCCATGGCCCCAGGGCGGTGGGCTCTGCATGGGAGGTGAGGGGTGTGCTGGAGGAAGAAAGGCCCCCCAGAGCTCCGAGGGCGTGCGAGGTGGGGCAGGTGCGCCCCAGGGAGTTGCATGGCATCTTGCGACCAGGGCGGAGTGGGGCTGCTGACCTGGACCCCGGGACCGGCACACTGCAGCCCCAGGGCCAGCTTTCCTCTTATAAAAATGTTTTACATTTTTAAGTGGCTGGGAAAAAATCGAAAGAATCCGATTTCACTTTACAGTGTCCGTAAGTTCTGTTTTGTGGGAACACAGGCACCCCCATTAGGTCACAGACTGCCCATGTGGCTCTAACCCTCAGGGAGGTTGTGGCACTGACTGGCTTGCCCACCCCTGCCCGGTCTCGCCCTAAAGCCCCTGCCCACCCCAGCTGAGGTGTGAGGAGCCCCGGCCCTCGCCCTCCTCTCTGACAGCTCTGCCCCTTCCCTTGCCCGGGCGGCCTGTGCACAGACCTGGGCCCCGCTGGCCGTGGTCCCTGGGCGCCGGTGGCGTGTGACCACCTTCATCGCGGTCCCACTCCTTAATGTGGCAGGACAGTGCCCCCTGCAGGCGACTCTTCAATCTGCCTTCTGAAGGGCCAGGCCTTGATGCGCACAAGGGCTCAGCTCCGCACGCTCGCCCTGCTTTTCGGAGTCTGTGGTGCGCGTTCCTTTCTAACGGTCTTGGCCACAAGTGAGCAAAGGCCACTCCCCTCACTGGGGTGCCCACCTGGGCCGACACATGCCCCCTGGCCGCTCCTCAGGGTCTGCAGGCCCCAACCAGCCACTGCCCAGAAAACTAGTGTGCCCAGTTAGGGGGAGAGAGGGAAGTTGGCACTGACCCCACAGGGGGCTGAGGCAGCCTGGGGGGCCCCTGAGACAAGCACAGAGACCGCACGGGGTCTGCAGAGGCCAGTCTGTGCCTGGGGGCCCCTTTTCGGAGTCCTGGCTGGGCCTGCACCCACCTGCTCCCTAGATGCCCCCACCGCTCTGCAGGGCCCCTCCTGGCCCCGTGCCCTCACCGGGCCCCCCGCCTTGTCCCCGCAGACCGGCAGAGCCAGGGGTTGTGCCCCCGACTGCAGAGGTGGCTCCACGAGAAGTTCGGGGAGTATGCAGAGGATTTCCGATTCCAGCCCGAGGAGAGCACCGTGGAGACGGAGGAGCCGCTCAGCGCCCGGAGGTGGGGCAGCCTTGGTGGCCCGCAGGCTCCCGCCAGCTAAGGGCAGGGCCTCCCTCCTGAGAAGGGCCCGTGCGGCTGCAAGGGAAGCCAGCGGCACCGCCATGTCCTCTCTCTGGCCTCGCCAGTGCTTTGTGACAAGTGCCGTGTGGGGTGGGTGGGTGCCTGCCAGGCCTCCCTCCAGGGCTCACACCCCCGCAGTAAAGGCAGGTGCTGCCAGGGCCTCCCGGGCCCCAAGTGTGCCAGACAGTCCAGGGGCCCCTGCAGGGCTCAGGTTCTGTGGGCTCCCCGACTTAAGGAGCAGCAGCGGGGACCTCCACTGGGCTCTGGTCGCAGGCTGCAGGTGGAATAGTGCTGGTGCCCACCTCTCTCCCCCTTCTCTCCCCCTCTCTCTCAGGTTAACTGAAAACATGAGGCGACTAAGTAAGTACTGAGCTGCCGCAGTGGGAACCCCTGGGGCGCTGACCTGGGCGGGGGGCCTCTGTCCTCTGGGGCTGGCCTGGCTCTGTTCAGTTCCCCCTCAGGCGGGTGCAGCCAGCCCGGTTCCTGGGTGTGCCGGGAGCTGGGTGCGCACCGGCCTGACCCCGTGGTCCGCTCTGCCCCAGAGCGCGGCGCCAAGCCCGTCACCAGCTTCATGAAGAACCTCTCTGCCTTATCCGACTGGTACTCTGTCTACACGTCTGCCATCGCCTTCACGGTGAGTGCTCCCCGTGGGGCCGGCCAGGTGTGCCACCAGCCCTCTTCACACAGCCAGGCACCCTCCCTGAGGTTGTCAGGCCCGTGCCGCGTGGGCACCTTGGGGATGTGCTTAGCCTCTGCTTCTCCATCTGTGAAGTGGGCCTTTAATGCTGTTCCACTGTGAGGATAGTTTCAAGGACCAGTGAGGGCACTGGGCTGGCCTGGGGCTGGAGCTCGGACCCCTTTCTGCACAGAGACCCCCCCACAGTGGCGTTCCCTGGACAGGGCCTGTGGACATGCATCGTCTGCTTTGCTGGGTCAGTCAGGGAGAGAATGGCAGGGAGGCCTGTCTGCTCAGGGGGAACCTGGGGCTCCCTCCATCCAGGCACCTGGGCTGGGGGGCAGCTCCTCATACAGTGCCTGGGGGCCAAGCAGGGAAGGGGGGAGAACGCTGGCACTGCCACATGCTTCATGGAAGACGGACCAGGCCGCCCTGCCTGAACTGTCCTGTGATGGCTGCCCCAGCCCTGTGCAGGGAGACCCTGTTGTCCAGTGGGAGGGGGACACAGGCTGCCCACCTGCTGCCAGGCTGTAAGGCCAGAGACGGGTGGCCACAGCTCCCGAAGGCCCCATGTCTGCCGGGGCCCCAGACAGCTTCCACCATGAGGGCCCTGTGGGCTGCCCTGACTCCCGCGGCCTGCTGCCTGTCCGGGCATTTTGCACATCTGCAGAAGACAGGCCGCGTGGCAGGGCCGCCTTCCCCCCAGAGGTCTTGCCCACCCTCCACTTCTCTCCAGGCTTCTGTGCTTCGGGTCACTGTGTGCCTTAGTCCCTCTGATCACAGGAGATGAACCCCACCATTCAGACCCCCTTCCAGCCCCGCCTGAACCCCCTGCCCCTCTGAGTGCCCAGCACATGGTGCAGGGTAGGTCCTCAGCCACTGGTCAGTCCCCATGTTCGGCTGGACTGAGTCCTGGTGACCCCAGGAGCTCTAGCATGAGGAGCCGCGTGTGGGGCCGGCAGGGACCTCTGCGTGGGGTCTGCACCCCTCGCCCAGTCCTGGCCTGTCAGCTGCCTCCCTGGGGCACACCCCTCCCTGCCTGCCTGCCCAGAGCAGCTTCTCCATCCCAATGGCAGCTCTTACCCAGAAAGCAGCCCTTCCCAGGGCTCCCCCACGGTGCACACCCTCATCGCTGCAGAGGGCCCAAAGGGCCTAGCCTCCCCCTGGCCTGGCTGTGGGGTGGGGGAGAGGGAGGGGCAGGGGAAGGCGGGGGAGGGCCGTGGCCTGGCCTGGACGGCACGTCAAGCTGCCTGACCACCCCCTTCCCCACCCCTTTCTCTCCAAACCCGCAGGTGTACATGAATGCTGTGTGGCGCGGCTGGGCCATCCCCATGTTCTTATTTCTAGCAATTTTGAGATTATCCCTCAATTACCTCATAGCCAGGTGGGTGAGCTGGCCTCTGTCCTGTGCTCATGGCTCTGCTGCCTCCCCTGCCGTCATGGCACGGGCTGAGCCTGCCCCACACACCGGCATTTCAGACGTGGGGGTGGTCCTGATAGGCCCCTCCCTGCTGGCTGGAGCCAGCATGTGCAGCCCCTCAGAAGGCCAGCAGGTGCCAGCTCAGGGTCCCTCCAGCCCCTCCTCCTCAGTGGTGACATCCCAGCGGTGGGGGTGTTGGTGGGGCTGCCCTTCGTTGCCAGATGCGCCGAGTCCGAGGGCCCTGGCCGGGTCCACGTGTGATGTTGGTCCTCTGTGGTCTCCGACAGCCCCCGCCAGGCTCTGGGGAGCTGTTGGGAAGCCCCTGTCCCTGGGCCTTCCTGGGTCTGTCTGAGCCCGGGGTCACTGCCCCACAGTGAAGCTCGGCTTCCAACCAGCCTGCGAGACCCTGCAGTCTGTATTTTTACTCAGCCCCTTGTAAGATCACACTTCCTGGGCTAGTTTCCTGGGGGCGTCTGTGCCTAGTTACATCAGTCCCCTCGTTCCTCGTAGGGTCACTGCTTGCAGGGGGGCTGTGTCCACATGGCTGCTTAGCTAAAGGACTCTCCTCGGTCCTTCCCTGGCTTACTTGGAAAGGCCTGTTACCTCTGAGTTCTTCTAAATGTGACCCCACCCTGGCGAGGCCCCCAGGGGAGGGGCCAGGGGTGACCCGAGTGGTCTCAGGGGCAAATGGCAGGGGGTTTCTGAAGCCCCCATGTCCCGCCAACTGGCCTTCTGGGACGCTGCTTCCCCATGGGGCACTCAGAGCTGGGGATGCAATGTCACCCCCTAACTGCACCGTGCACAGACGACGCGGTTTTAATAGGCTTGTCTGCTGCTTGCCAGGGGCTGGAGGATCCAGTGGAGCATTGTGCCCGAAGTGTCTGAAGTGGTGGTGAGTCCCGGGGTGGGGGGGCACAGCGCCCGGCCTCCACTGGGCGGGGCCTAGGCCCACTGGCACTGTAGCTGGGGGGCTACAGCTGTGTGGATGTCCTCTGGAAGCCCCACCTTGGAAGAAGCTGGGGAGCAGAAGGCCAGCTGCCCCCCAAGCCTGGAAGCCAGATGACAGTACCCTGACCCTTTGTGGCCTCCCGCCCCTGCTCCCAACCCCTTACTGGCCAAGCTTAGCTCTTCAGGAAGCAGGTTGCCCTGCCCCGGCCTGTCCTGCTGACCCTTCCACAGGAGACGTGATGTGGCAGGGAGGCTCAAGGGGCTGCTGCACGTGGGCTGGGCCAGTGGGCATGTAGGGCAGGGAGCTGCACACTGTGGCCACGGCCCTGCCGGCCCACCATCTGATTTGTGAATAAAGCTATGTTGGCACACAGCCATGCCTGTTTGTTCACACACCGCCCTGTCTGCATTTGGGTGGCCACAGCCGAGGTGATGAGCTGTGACAGAGACTGTGTGGCCCACAGTGCCACGAGTGTCTGCTCTTTCTGGCCCTTTAGAGAAAAAGTTTGCCATCTCATCTCTAGAGAGAAGCTCTGGACCAGGCATGGGCAGGAGGGAGGCCAGGGTCCTCCATGAGCCCCGTCAGGTGTTTGAGCGCACACTGTGTGCATGCGTGCAGCTGTGGAGCTCACAGTAGGGGTGCTGGGAGCAGTGGCTTCTGTAGGGCCCCTTTAGACAGGGTCAGGGAGGGCGTGCAGCTGTGGAGCTCACAGTAGGGGTTCTGGGAGCAGTGGCTTCTGTAGGGCCCCTTTAGACAGGGTCAGGGAGGGCGTGCAGCTGTGGAGCTCACAGTAGGGGTTCTGGGAGCAGTGGCTTCTGTAGGGCCCCTTTAGACAGGGTCAGGGAGGGCGTCTCAGGAGGCAGGCCTGTGCCCACCAGGCCCCGCCGCCCAGGAGGCCCTTTGGAGGTCCTTGTTGATTGGACTCAGACAAGCCGCGTGAGGTCAGGCCCCGCTGCCCCACTCAGTTTCCCTGCCTGTAAAGTGAGGAGTGGGGGGGCTACGTGGTCTCAGAGGCACCTTTGAAGGGAAGGGTGACTCGGAGCCTCGCCCTGCCTGCTGAGGGGGCTGCCATGCCCACGCTCCCCTGCCGTCTGGGGTGCAGGGCATGTCTGCGCACAGCCCCCTGCCCGGTGGGCGGCACAGCGAGCCGGTCCTGGGCCGGGCGCCTCGCGCAGTCTTGGCAGTGATTTCCCTGCACCGAGTCTCAGCGAGAGCTCTTCCCCACCAAAGGAACCGCCAAAGGAAGACCTGACCGTGTCTGAGAAGTTCCAGCTGGTTCTGGATGTTGCCCAGAAAGCACAGGTACCGCTGGGGTGTCTGTGCTGCCCCCACCTGGTGGGGGCCCCAGCACCCCAAGACTCCAGGCCCCCAGGATCAGCCTGGTGCTGGTGCCCTGGCAGTTGGACTGGCCAGGGCCCAGCCAGCTCCTGGGAGGGGGTCGGGCCTGGGTCCCTGTCAGTGAGTTCCCAGGCTCCACAGACTGGACCCCTCACCCCTCAAGCAGCCTGGTGTGGCTGGGCAGGGGGTCCGTGTGAGCTGGGGTCCCAGTGTTGCCGTGTGGATGTGCAGCCGGGCTCTGGTAATCGCAGTTTCCCTTCGCGCAGAACCTCTTTGGCAAGACGGCTGACATCCTGGAAAAGATAAAGAAGTAGGTGGTAGCCCGGCCCCCGACTCTGTGTGCGTGCCGACCCCGGCCAAGCCCGGTGGTTGCCCGACCCCGGCCCCCAGCCCTGTGTGCGTGCCGACCCCGGCCAAGCCTGGTGGTTGCCCGGCCCCGGCCCCCAGCCCTGTGTGGGTGCCGACCCCGGCCAAGCCCAGTGGTCGCCCGACCCCCGGCATGGGTGTGGCCCCTGGCCAAGCCCAGTGGTCGCTCAGCCCCTGGCCCCAAGCGTGGGTGCAGCTGGCCAGCTGAGCCCCTCTCCCTTGCAGCCTGTTCATGTGGGTCCAGCCTGAGACCACACAGAAGCTGTACGTCGCGCTGTGGGCCGCCTTCCTCGCCTCGTGCGGCTTCCCCTACCGTCTGCTGGGACTAGCCGTGGGTAAGGATGCGCCACTCCTGTGGCTCGGAGCCGCGGGCACGGGGGGAATGCAGCACCAGGGTGGCCTGGCGCCCGCCTGCCCCACACGTCTGCCGGAAGCGGCTCAGAGTGGTGTGCTCCCTGGAAGCCAGCCGCCAGCTCGCCCTGGGCTTCCCTCCCCGGCACCTCGCCCGTGGCTGTCCCTCGGAAGGCGCACACTGGGGAGAAATGAAGCCCATCAGAAACCTGCAAACCGGGTTGTCGTTGCTGGAGTCGGGCTCCCTCGGGCAAGGGGAGCTGGTGGGCTGGGGTGCAGGCCGCCCAGGCAGAGTGCGGCAGCCTGGGGACTGGCCCAAGTTTTCCTTCATGTCTGCCTGGGGGCATAGTAGCTCCTGGTTTGCGTAGTTTTCCAGGCCGTTTTACGGTTTGGCCTGAGGTGTCAAAAAAAAAAAGACCTCCGCCCCTTAGCTGGGGTCACCTGGCTGTTTCACCCTCCGGCCCTGTGTTTTCTAGGAGGCCCTCCATGTGCCCTGGCCTGCCCGCCCCCCGCAGGGCTGGAGGGCTCCGGTGTGGGCTGTGGGTGGCCGGGCTGGGCAGACAGCAGCGTGGCTTGGTCTCCTGGAGGTTCGGCTTTGTTCTCCCCTCCAGGACTCTATGCTGGCATCAAGTTTTTCCTCATCGATTTTATCTTCAAACGCTGCCCGAGACTTCGAGCCAAATATGACACTCCCTACATCGTCTGGAGGAGCCTCCCCACAGACCCCCAGCTCAAAGAGCGCTCCGGCGCCTCTGTATCCCGCAGGGTGAGCCGCCCCAGGCTGGGGAGGAGGCTGCCGCCCCACCCCCATGCCCTGCCTCGTGGGGAAGCTGATCTCTTCCCAAATCTGCGTACAGACAACGTCAAACAGAGCTCGGTGGGGTGGGGGTGGGGGGGTCTGTGTGACCTGCTGCTCTGCTTCCAGGTCCCCCTAGCTCTTCCTTCTTCTGTTAGGGCTGGCCAGCCCTGGGGGCCCCGTGGTGCTCCGAGGCTGAGATGGAGGCCTCAGTTACCTGGAGGCCCCAGGCTTTGCTAAGCCGGGCAGGCCCCCAGGCCGAGCACAGGCAGATGTGGGGCGTTGGCCATGACCACCGAGAGACCAGGGGCCTTGGGAGCAGGAAGCCCTGGGAGGGTGCAGCTCCCGCACCATCCTCAGCCCTGAGGCCCAGGCAGCACCTGCGAGAGGCTGCGTCTGGCTTTCGGGCTGGTCCTGGGCTGTGTGTCATCCGCGGTGGAAGGCCATGTGAACCAAACCAGGGTGTGGAGGAAAAGTGGCCCAGGTGTTCTCCTGAGAGGTTCTGTGCCCAATGGGACTCCTGGGGAGGTCTAGAAGGGCTTCCTGGAGGAGGTGACATCAGGCCGCAGAGTCGTGTCAGTGCCCTCTGAGGAGGGGTGTCCAGCGCCCTGCTGGTGCTTGTCAGTGGGAGGGAAGCTCTGGGTCAGGTGTGGGTCTGGCTCCCTGGGTTCTGGGACAACAAAGCGTGATGGAGGCCCAGACACACCTGCCAGGTGTGAGCGGCCCCGCGCCTCGGGCTGTGCTGTGCAGGTGCAGGTGGTCCTGAGGGAAGAGGCACAGAGGCAGGCAGCCCGCTCCCTAATTGCATGGGGGAGATGGGGGCCCCAGCCTAGCCCCGGGGTGGCCGCGACTGCTTTCTTGGGGTCAAGACCACCTAGCGCTGGCCGCTGTCAGAGGGTGAAGGGGAGTGCGGACAGGGGCTTCCCAGGACAGGGGGACGCCTGCCGAGCTGTCACATGGCCTTGTCTGCGCGCGCAGCACTGCTCAGCTGCTGTGTTCCTGGCCTCGCGTCCTGTGCGCCCGCTTTTCTTTCGTTGCGGCCACACATGTGTGTCTCCTTTCCGGCCAGCTGTTGGGGCAGGACCGGATGTGGGGGTGTGGGGGCCCCCCCCCACTGTGCCCTGATGCTGTGCACCGCTGTGTGGTGACCCTGTTTGGCTGTGTCGCTCTTGGTGGCCTGTCTCGCCACCAGTTCTGATTTCTGAAGTGTTGGTGTGTGCCGAGCACCTGTTGGCACAGGGCCTGGACTGCCTGGGGTGCAGGCTCAGCCACGGGGCTGGGGGCCACATCAGGACCAGGCACCAGGGCCCTGCGCACCCCCCATCTGGGTGTACCTGCCTTCCCCGCCTGCGTTTGCAGCTGGTGCCGGAGGGCGCATGGGTGTCCAGCCGCCCCTCTTCCTGCACCACATGGTGACTAGGTGTGTGCCCTCTTGGCAGCTGCAGGCAGCCGCCTCTCGGAGCTACGTCTCCAGTGCGCCAGCCGGCCTGAGTAGGGACGAGGACGCTGGGCGCTTCCACGGCACCAAGAAGGGCAATTTCCATGAAATCTTTAACTTGACAGAAAATGAGCGACCACTGGCCGGTATGTGTGATAGGTCTGGGACCTGCCCTGGTCAGGTGGGGTGACCCGGCCCCCCAGGGTGTCCCTGGGGACAGATGGCAGGGACAAGCCATAGGGGCTCGGGTGGGTGGCCTTTTGCTCCCAGCCGTCCTGGGCAGGCAGGGTGGAGGAGACGGTGTGCTCTGGGCCCACATGGAGAGTGGCCTTCTCTGCAGTAAATGTTTGAATAGCAGAAATTCAGACAGAGTCCAGCAGAGCCTGGCTCAGTGCGGGCCGCTGCGGCATCCCACAGGCAGGGACCGGCCGAGGTTCCAGGCTGGGCACATCCAGCCGCGGCCCGTCTGGAGAGCTGGTGGTGCAAGGTGGCTCAGGCCCATTCCCAAGTGGCCTCCGAGAAGGCCGTCCCCGCACTCCCGACCTGCCGGGCCTTCACGGCTGCTTGGCCGTGTGTAGTGCAGGAGGCCGGGTGCAGAAAGAGAACTTTGGGGAATTTGCTGTGATCTTCTCTTCCCGCTGAGCTGCGCTATGACAGCAGGTGCTAGGAGAGTCCCCACCACAGTTTGACTTACTTTATTTTGCTGTTTAAACTGTATGCTTTTCCTTTAAAAAACCAAAACGCCTGCAAGACTGTGTTGGGGGGCCGGGTTGCACCCTCCGTCCCTGTGGGTTTTGTCTGGCGGAGGGTGAGTGCTCGCGCATCTTTGAGGCACCCGAGCTGAGGGTTCTGGAACAAATCAGAGGGTAGCAGGTATTTCCAGAGGGAAACTGTTGCAGGCGCCTCTGTCCCCATTAGTGTGCGAGAATGGCTGGCGCTGCTGCTTGATAAACAGGGACCGGAAAATGCCCACAGACTACATCAGGAACGGGGTCCTGTACGTGACCGAGAAGTGAGTGCTGGCGCGGCTGGGAAGGGGTGTGAGCTGGGCGCCCGCCGGGTGGTCCAGGTCAGAGGAGGCTCCTCACCAGGGCCGGTTCCTGGCGGGTGCTGCTGGTGAAGGGTTGGGTCTTGAGGGTGCTGTGCATCCACCTGGCAGAGCCACTGCCCCGGGCTCAGGCAGAGCCCTCGTGTCTCTCCTTACGGGGCACAGGGCCCACAGGGGGCTCTGCCTTTTCTCCCCTACAGGGAGCATATCCTCGAGGCCTCCCTGCCAGGTGTAGGAGTTGGGGAGCAAGTTGAGGTTCTCAGCTTCGGGGGCCCATTGCCATCCTGTCCCCACACCCAGGCCGAGGGCCTGCACCTCCTCTCTACTGCCTCACTGACAGAGCTGGCAGAGGGGACCCCCAGCAGGGCCCCAGGGACACTCCTGTCTCTCACTGGGCCTCCCAAGGATGCTAATGTCACGGGACTGTAAATAGGTTCCGTGTGGAGCAGTGGATTTTAGTCTTTAAAAAGCCAGGAAACTCAGCCTGTAGAAGCCCAGTGCGCAGTAACAAGTGGGGGGCCCTCTGGGCGTTGCCCTCATCCCGCTGGGGGCTGCGTGGCCGCAGCCCAGGCAGGGTCCTCACTGGTTCAGTCGCCAGATGGCGCCTCTGCCCCTTTCTCCCCGGGTAGTTACTTGTGCTTCGAAAGCTCCAAATCCGGCTCTTCCAAGAGGAATAAAGTCATCAAGCTGGTGGACATCACAGACATCCAGAAGGTGGGTGTGCCCTCCACCCCCGCCCTCCCTCACCAGCCCCCCTCACTTCAGGAAGAGGGAAGCCGCAGGGCCCCGGAGCTGATGGGAGGGGTGGGGAGGCACACGGGTGTCTGGCGGGGTGGGCGGGTGCTGCTGGGGGACCAGGCCCTGCTTCTGCCCGCGGAGGGGCTGCCCCCCCGGAGGCTCTACAGGGGGCGCCCGTGTACAGGCCATGCCCCATCCGGTGCCTCCCCTCCTCCCCGGGGGCCAGCGCCCGGTGTCCTCACGCAGTCAGGAAGGGAGTGTGCCGCGAGGGGCCGGGCCGTCAGGGACAGGCTGGCGTGGCGTTTGCAGGCCTGGTTTCTCCATCACAGGCCACCCTGGTCCTCCTGTCTCCGGGCAGGCCTGGACCCCGTGGCTCTTGCCATCTGTGGGCTCCTCGGGGGAGGACGCCTGGGTGGGGAGGGTGGCTGACTCTGTCCCCAGGATGGGGCCATGGTGACGGGTGCTGTCATCCCTTAGTACAAGGTCCTCTCAGTCCTCCCGGGCTCAGGCATGGGGATTGCTGTGTCCACACCTTCAACCCAGAAAGTAAGTGGGCAGGTGGCTAGGGGAGGGCGGGCTGGGCCCAGGCCTATGGGTCAGAGCCAGACTGGCTGGGGTTTTGGCTGGTGGTGGGGTTACCAAGGAGCCCCCACCTACCCTTCCTCCCTGCGGCAGCAGGAGCTTCATGGTGCATTGGGTCTAGGGGACTGAAGCCCCCGGGGGACCACCCAGCCCAGCCACTCAGCAGGGAGGGTGGAGCCGGGACACCAGGCCCCTGCCTCTGGCTCAGTTTCTCTGAAGGCCAGGAGCCCAGCCTCTGGGTGGGAGGGGGGTCCGGCCCTGTGCACCCGGGCTGCACGTGAGTCACGTGGACCTGGCCCGGGGCCAGTTGAGGTGTGTGTATGTGTGTTCTGGGGGAGGGGGCCCTGTCCTCACCCATCCTGGCTGTGGGCACGGTTACCTGTGGTATTTCCTCCCTGGCAGCCGCTGGTGTTTGGCGCCATGGTGCACAGAGATGAGGCCTTCGAGACCATCTTCAGCCAGTACGTGAAAATCACCGCAGCGGCCGCCTCTGGAAGTGACAGCTAGTGTTGACTCTGCTGGGGCGTTGCTGGGAGCAGTGGTGGTGGTTTTTGTTTTTTAAACAGTTCGGTAGTGGAAAAGAAATCGGACATCCTCATGATCTTTTGCAATAATTCCCCTCCATCCGTGATTTCTGTCATGTTGACCCTGCTTTTGACAGACCCCTTGGCACAGGGGTTGGCCCTCAAGTGGTGCCAGCCCCCCTGATGGGTGAGGCACATCCCACCAACACCTGTGGGCACGGAGGGCAGAGGGTCCTCAGAGGTCCCTGAGAGGACGGCGCACGGAATGCGCATCGCCGTGGCTGCCACCGAGCAGAGCTGCTCCTTCTGTCCCCACCTGGACAGAGCCCCTGCACCAGCCATGCAGCCCAGCTCTGCGGAGACCAGCTCTTCCATGCCCAAGCCATAGCCGAGAGGGTCTGCAGTCCCCCTCGGGGGCACCCTCACCCGCCGCCCCCGGTGGGCCAGCCTGTCTCCCTTTGGTGAGGCCTTCCTTGCCGCGGTCCTTGGAGGGAGGCCTGCGGGTGGTGCCATGTGGGCTCCCTTACACTCTGCGCGGCCTTCTGTGAGGACAGCGAGGCTGGCCGGGAGGGCCTCAGGGTCAGGCCCGGCCCCATCACCGCATGGCTGCCGGCGAGGGCAGGCAGTGGCTTATGGGTGGAAGCATGTCTTTTTAACATTTTGCTCTTTGGACGGTCCTGGGGGACATCTGCCAGGGCTTAGGGGGGCACTGCGACCCTCGGTTACTCTCAGATCAACACCTGCTGGGGCGCGGCTGGTGTCTCCACACAGCCAGCTTGGTGAGGGAGGGGTGAGCAGGGCCAACAGGAGTCCTAGGCCCGTGGTGGCCACGCTTGTGGACGGCCTGCCCGTGTGGCTGCACAGAGAGCCTCGGGAGGCCACCGGCGTGGGGAGTGACCATGAGCAGACCCAGAGGTTTGGGGTTGGGCAGTCCGACCCCTGGTGTCTGACCCTGTTGCTCCAGCACGGCATGTGGGCCGGCACACACGGGGACCACCCTGCTCCCCCGGTGCCAGCGCGGCTGCCCTGCAGGCCCAGCTCACTACGGACCAGCCCGAGAGCCCATGTAGTTGGGACAGGCCTGTGACCTTTGTGAAGGATGCGTGGTCCCCATGACCACCCTGCCGGTCGGCACGCTGTCCAGCTCCGGTCACTCCTGCCCTTCGGCTTCTCCTGAGTCCTTTAGGTGTTGTTGAGATTGTTGTTTTTTGAAGAAACAGAAGATTATATTTTTTACAGAGAGCAAGCTGTTTTTCTTATTTTTGTATCATTTTTCAGATGTAATTTTTACTTCTGCTCCAACCCTAATTTGCTGGTTTGGGTGAGATCTGGTGGCATGGCTTGTGACCCCCTCCCCAGGGGTGGGCCTGGGGTGTGACCGGGGGCGGGGCACACCACCAGCTAAGTCATGCGCACACCCTGCCCGGTCAGTGGGCGCCGAGGGCACTGTGCCACCCATCAGCCCCAGCACACCAGCCTTGGCCTTGGTAAGGCAGAGCCCACTCCGCTTCTTGGCGCTGGCCCCGCGGTCAGTGCAGACGGACCGGCCCTCGGCTCCACGGAGCCCTCGGCACACCTGGGGGACACAGAGCAGAGTGGGTCCCAACCTGCCCCCAGGGACGGCCTCAGGGCTGACGCCCACCAGTCCTGCCTAGCGCCCTCCCCGGGGCTGCCGAGGGGAGGGCACGGACCTCTGAGCATGGCGGGGCCGGGGCTGATGGTTTAGTTCGAGTCCCTTCTGAGAAAGGGAGATGAAAACTGCCACGCACTGGGGTGTGGCTGCCGAGCTCCCGCCCGGGGAGGGCTGAGGGTGCCGAGCAGGGAGGGGCCGGCCCCGCGTGCGGGGTCCACTGCAGGCCGGCTCTTGGCCCAGGACAAGTGTGGACCTGCGCAGGCTCTGGGCTCCCCGGCGGTGGTAGCCAGTTTTTATTGCATTGTGTGAATCTGGCAGATATTTAATTTCTATGACTAATCACTGAACTACAATGAATGTTAAATTTTTTATGTCTGAAGCTTGAGTCTATTTTGGATCTGTAAATAATCATTACAAGTGTAACTTTTGTTCAACAAAAGTATTGTACTGTACGAAGAATCGATGAAAAAAATCCCCTTGTAACATTTTTTTAAGAAAACCATGTTTGTTTAGAGAAAAAGTCTTGTATAAATTATAGTTTTTATTTAAACCTGAAATGCTTTGTGCTAGGAGGGGGGCCTCAGCTTCCCTGACAGGGCCCTGGTGCTTGGTGGGCAGCTGGAGTGGCCTGGGCCAGCAACACTGTCCCCTGGGGAGCCCAGAGTCCCCACAGCCACCAGTGCTGGACAGCAGGCAGGCTTGGCTCCAGGGCCACCTGGGTGAAGGCTGGACGGTGAGGTGGGCACGCAGGGGTGGGCTCTGGGACAGGTGCCATGAAGGAGGGTCCTGGTGGGGAGTATGGACATCAGGAGGTTGGGATGGGGAGGGAGGGGCCCTGGTTCCCACAGTCGGGAGGCCAGTGACCAGGGTGCAGAAGCTGGCAGGGAAGGGCATCCAGGGCCTGGTACTGGGTGGCAGCGCAGAGCAGGGCCATTACCCTGTGGGAGTTTTCGGGGAGCCCGAAGAAGCGGCTGAAGCAGCACCTTGGATTTGGGGTGTAGATCCTGACCCCACTAGAGGTGCCTTCCCAGGGCGACTTCAGGCATCTCTGGGACTGGGCGCTGCCTGCAGCCCTCTGCCCGAGGTCTGAGGCCAATGGGTGGGCGGCCTTGGGGACTTGGTCAGAGGGGTCCCTAGTGGCACTTGTGACTTGGTCAGTCCACATGCTGGCACTGGATGTGGACACAGCAACCTTCCTGGCTTTTGAAACCACTGCGGTCCTGCACCCACCCCCCTGCACCCCAAGCCCACGTAAGCCCTGGGAGTGGGTCAGAGTGGGTTGGAAACCAGGGCCAGGGGCCAGCTCAGCTCTCAGGGGTGTGGCCTCAGACTGCATCCATCCATCCATCGGTCCGTCTGCCCACCCTCCACCCATCTGCTGCAGTGCTGTCCTGGGGGCTGGGATGCAGCCATGGTGGGACAGCTCCCTGGGGACCCTCAGGAGCGCTGCATCCTAGCAACACACCCAGGCTGATCTTCCAGCCAAAATGAGCTTCCTGAGCCCACCTACCTCCCTCTGCCCTCCAGCACAGCCCACTTGCTCTCCCTGCAGCCCCTGCAGGGGTACCAGCTCTCTGGGGGGATAAGAGAGGAAGAACATGGGGCCCAGGTGTGGGTGCGCGGGCTCCGCGAGACTCGGTCAGCCTTCTGTCCCGCCACGTGTCGGCGAAGCAGGACACCCATTACGGCTGCTTGGTGGCTGTCCGCCCCATGGGCGTCTCCGCAGGTCTCTGCACTCTGTGCAGGTCACAGCAGTGTCGTGTCGGGAGGGTGTCTTCCGGCTCTCCCCGTGGGTCTGCGGGACACGGGCGCCTTGGAACCTGTGGTGCTTGGGCCTTTATTCTTGGGGAGATGGGGCCCCTACAGGGCGTCTGCTACAGATCAGAACAGGAGACCCCCCCAGCATGGGGAAAGTAGGGGACATGTAGGGGAGACAGGCCAGAACAGAGAGGGAAATGGGTTTTGCTCTTGAGCTGGGGTTCTCCTTCATAGACTCTTTCATTAACACCTAGTGAACGAGTTTTATCAATGTGTGGGTGGGGAACTAGAGGGTCCCATGTGCACCAAAGAGGCGTGTTTGTTATGAACCAAGGATGGTGGTTAATTCTGCTCCTCCCCAGGAACCAGCAGGCCAAACTGGCTCTCGGGCTGTAAGTCCTAGTAGGCTGGAGTGTGGGCTTGGCTGCTAAGGGTACAAGACCCCGGAGACCACAGGAGACGCAGCCAGCGGGAGGAGGCAGTGCTGGAACAATCTGGAAGCCCCGGCATGCTGAAATCTGCCCTTCCAAACGTGCTGGAACCAGGAAGCCCAGCCCTGTCCCCCACTGTCAAAGGTGAGCATGACACCAGCCGCTGAGGGGACATCCCAGGGTCACGGGGTGGCAGGGCAGCTGGCTGGAGCGAGAGGAGCACGGCTGTGGCCACTGCCGTTTCATTCTACATGGAAGTCAAGCCTGCGCGGAAAGCAAAAGTGAAAGATTGTGAAGGAAGATACCCAACTAGTATTACTTGTAGATGATAGGACGACTGTAGAAATTCCTGAATCTGCAGCTATTTTCTTATAACAAAAGGCAAGTTTTCTGGATACCACACATTAAAAAACAAGGGCATTTTTAAAGAAAAGTTCATAAGGTAAAGAGCCTCAAAATACAAAGTTTTTAAAGAGTAAATCTAAACAAAATTAAGAGACTTAAGGAAAAATTGTAAAACTTGAAAGATATGAATGAGAACTTGTCTAAATGGAAATGTATGCAGTGTTCATAGACTGGAAAATTCAGCTCATGACGAAAATGTCTTCTTGAAGCACGCACTCAATATGCTTCCTTTTACATAAAGAGGAAAGCCACAAAGCTATATAATGTAACGTCTGAGAATATTATACACGTGTAAGGGAAGAAAAACCTTTCTTCTACCCTCTTAGGTTCAGTGGGAGGGGCCTGTGAATTAAACAGACAGAGAGGCAGATGAACAGGAGAAAAGGCATATAATATTTTTTGATGCTAGTATTTTAGTACCTGGAGGTCTTTGTAGAAATTAAGACCCAAAGCAGTGGTTAGGTTTGGGCTGCTTGGGTAAAATTCATTTATTGGGGGACTTTATATGAGGGAAACTAATGGATGATGAGGGCTGTTTAGCAGGGTTTGTTTGTGCAGACCCGGCTTGGTACGCTGTCTCCGGTGAGGAAGGTGATTCTCCCGGGCAGGAGAAAGGGGGGCACAAAGGGAAATGTACGGTCTGCTTTAAGGCACATGGGGAAGGCAGAGAGCTTTTTCTGCATTCACTGCTTAATTGCCTTCAGAAGCTCAAAACGATCCTTATGCCAAAGTGGCCTACTTTGGGGTGCCAGGTGGTGATCCCCTCACATGGAGGAAGCCAGGGAGTCACACTCCGACCTTAAACAGTAGCTCGCTCCGTGGGGGCAGCGAAGCAGGCCCGGGACACTCGGGAATGCAGGGGGCTTCGGAGTGAAGCTCGGTTTCTTGGCCCAGATGGCAGCCACGCCATTGTTCATTTTATTCTTGTTCTTTACATTGGACATATATGTTTTCACAGGAAATACTCTGCTTTGAAAATAATGGGAATTTGTAAAAGGAAAAAAACAAAATTCTGCCCAAAGTAACTTTTATTTTTGTGTTCTCAAATGTATCAGAGCAAATATGCCATTTTCTAATCTTGAAACCAGCAAGATTAGAAAGAAATTATACCACCCTTCCATCCACACTTCCCCGTGATACAAGACTGTGGGAGGGAGCAGAGGGGAGCGTGCCCGCCGGGGCCGGTGCCCCTCCAGGGCCCTTGCCGTCAGAGTCAGCGGGAGTGGGGACAGAGCACAGCTGCCGCACTGCTTGTTTACACCAGTGAGCCACGGCGGAGGTCAGAACACAGATGGACCCTTCCAAAGGCCCTGAGTTCTCACCAGCCAGCAGGCCTGATCTCCTTTCCTTACGACCCCAAGGACAGGGGTTGGGGCTGCCCCACCTGGAGTCCTCACAGGGATCAGGCCCTACACACGCGAGTGGGCGAGAAGGTGCTTCCATCCTGTGCCCAGGCGGGGAAGGAGCTCTTGGGGGCCCCAGCGGTTCCAGTCCCGGCACCCCCAGGCCAGCTGCAAGGTTTGGAATGTCGGATGTCAGCGTGCAGTTGGTGAGAATCTCCAGAGCCACCTGGGAAGCACTCGGTGCAGCGGGGTTTCTCGGTGAATATAAAATCCTTAGTCTCTGGCCTGGGTTGTTCTTCTAAAATTGGCAGGGGGACCGTGTGTTGGAAACATTCGCCAGGATGACAGACTGAAGACTTTGGGGGACCTTGTGATGTGGCAGAGTCCACGGCGCGGCTTCAGGGCTGGTGGCCCGTGGCGGGTCCTGCCGGTGAGGCCTCTGGAGCGCTTCTGCCCTGCCAGGCCCCCATCCCGCACCAAGCTGCCAGGCCTGTGTCTTTGGTTTCTTCCCAACCAGGAGCAAACATTAAGAACAGGGACATCCGGCATGTATTTACTTCTTTATACCCAGACTTTTCATCTACCCGCCAATGCTAAAGCCAATTGGCTTGCACAACTCCTTAATAATTTGGTCTAAAAAAAAAAACACTGTTAAAACTGCCCTTCTGTCTGGCCTGAATGGGAATGAATGATGACGTAGGAAATTTCATTTATACTTCAAAATATAAATGCTGCAAGTGAATTCTAAAAAATATGTGGTGTCTGTTAAATGTGAAAATGACTAGTAGAAGCTCCATAGAGTAAAAAGCACTCGTACAGCACATGACAGCATGTAAAACTGCCTCACAACAGTCAAGCTGTGTTCCAGAGTCAGACGTAAGCTGCATCGTCTCGTATGTCGAGCAAAGCTGTTACCAGTGCACCTCCTGCACACCTGCACACAGGTGCAAACGGAGCCAGGCCTCAGCAGACCCGGCGTCCCTGGGGCGGGAGTGGGCACCTTGGGCAAGTCCCTGGCTGCTCTGGCTCCAGCACTTTAGCAGAAAACAGACTGAAACACTATCCATGAGACCATCCTGGTTTAAAAGGACGAGACTTTCAATAAATCCATAGAAATAAGCATGAAGATAAGAACTAATCTGGACCGTGTGTGTATAGACTCAGGGCCTGAGGCTGGGACAGGCCCCCTCTGCCCAGCGCAGGGTACTCGGGTCTGAAGTTAGCACAGCAGTCATGGAGGGCACGTTTACCTGGGTGGCAGCACCTCTCCCTCCCGCCGCCAAGTCCGCTGTCCGCAGGGCCCGTACAAAGCATCCATATTCGCAGCTTAACAGTGAGTCACTGCTAGGGTTCTGCAGCCGCCTGTCTCCAGAGCTCATGCCTGGCTCCTGCCACCGGCTGCCTGAGATGCCAGCAGGAGCCGAGACCGCACAGGGAAAGCACCCCTGTGCCTCCCACGAAAACGGCCTCTCTAGCTGCTCCTTAAGCAGGATGGCCCCACGCTGGGGCTGCTGGGGACAGGAAGGATCCAGGGTAACATCCTTATCTAAATTACGGTGAAGGTGAATGAAGCCAGAGAGCATCAGCTACTTTCTAAAACTCGACTGCAGACA